GGGGGGGGGGGAGCCTCCGACTTTAACCAGTGGAACCTGGGCCTGTGGTGGTGACATGCGAGCATGCGTGTCTGTTCGGCTCCCCTAACTCAGCAGCAGGGCCTTGAAGTGCTCACTGCAGGTGCTGCCCTTCCATACGCCTCTCTGCCAGTGGCCCCCTTGCTCCGGCGCGGTCAGGGTGGGGCAGCATGACAGGGGATGAGGAAGAATGGTCCTCTGATCTCTGCGGCCCAGGACTTGCCTTCTGGATCTCAGAGCTGGCCTTTATCCACCAGCATTGAGCAACCATTGGAAGTGCCGTCCGGAAAGGGCGTGACCCCGGCCGATTCGCCATCCACTGACAGCACTCAGCAGCTGGGGCAGCTCTTGCTTCCCTAAGGGGCGATTGGGTGGCCTTTCCTCAGGGCTTCCTTAGGTATTGGCATGAAAAAACCAGCACATCAGACCGGTTGCAACTCAAATCTTGATTTCACAGATGATTAATTGTGTGACCTTCAACTGCTCATTTAATTTTCTGAGTCTCCCCTTCTATAACATGTGTAGAGCATTAGTGTCGTATTAGTTAAGTGGTAGGGGTTGGTGGGAGGTTTTAACTTATTTATTGAATCTAAAACATTTTGCACAGTCACAGCACAAGGTACATGCTCAATAAATATCAGCTATTTCAAAGAGAGCATTGCGTCTTTGAATCTTCACTTTTTAAAATCCCACAGACAAGGTTCTCTATTAAAGTTAATTAAAGTATTGAGCTACTATAAAATGAGGGGTGATTTGATCCAAGATTTGTTTTTAGAAGTGACTTAATGATAGGAATGAAAAATAATCTAAAGGAACATTTCTCTGGGGACCGGGGAGGGGAAACATACCGCAGTGTTTTTCATGCCTCAATGTTTAGATTAGTCCTATTTAATGTTTCTGTAAGTCATCTGGAAATAGAAGTGAACAGTGGAAATTGTACCTGGCCGTTTCAAGGACACGTAAGGTCTTGGGGAACGTCATGGACAACACAGATGGCTCTCTGGGGCTACTGTGAGTGGACAGGGAGGTGGCGGAGGTAGTTTGTGATGGGCAGGTATGTCACTCCACCTCAATACCTTTGATTCTAGACAAGGTAGGTGCCTCAAAGAGCGCCATCCTCTTTCCCCCCAGCCATCTCTCCTGGGCTCCTCTTTATTATCTCATCACCACGGCCTTTGTGGTCCCTACCAAGAACTGTTTCATCTCTAAAGCCTAAAAGCCTGCCACTTTCTGACCATCTCTTCTCTCTTTCCAATCGTCTGCTGCCTGAACCGATTCTTCATACAGCTGTCTTTGATCTCAGAATCTGAAGTCCCTCGCTGCCACCCAGCCCTTTTCTCTCAGTCCATGTTTCTGGTGTTTTGCCTGGGACACAAGGGACATCCCCTTCGGCCACTCTCTTGCTGGAAGCCCTGTGTTCTGCCCCTGCCTTTGCTTCACTCAACCCTGTTCAGGAAGCAGCCATCCACCAGCCCTTGTCTACACTCAGGTTTCTGAGCAGGAAGGAAAACATGTCACAGGCATGTGTGTTGGCGTCCCATCAGCCTACCCGCCCATCCCTCACAGTGACGTTTTCCAAACCTTCACCACTTTTTAGTTAATCCCCCTACGCCCAACCTGGTAAGCATATACATAGAGACATAAACTTTCTTTCCTAAAGAGGACTATATTAAGAGCACTGTCCTATGAATCCTTCCCTTAACATTCAAGATTAGAAATTCTTTCATTGAGGTTCTACAAATAATTATAGATTCTTAGGCACTACCATCGACCTATAAAATCACAATCTCTGCAGTGGAGGTCAGACTTTGTGTGTTCTAATGATCAGTCCTATTTTGGGACTTCTACTCAAGACAGAGGAGCCCTGGTATCTAGTGGGTTTCAGGCTGGGGTCCTACTATCCACAACATCAGCAGTAGGAACACATCAGCTGCTCCTCGGGAGAAAGATGAGGCTGCCTCCTTCCCTAAGATTCACAGCCTTGGAAACCCTCAGGAGGAGTTCTTCCAGGCCCTCAGAGCTGACTCCGTGGTAGGAGGGAGAGTCAAGG